ATGAAATAGAATGGACAAAAATAATATAAAATAAAATGAACCACTGAAAAATAAAAACAAAAAAGACAAAAATAAAACAAAAGACAAACAAAAACCAAAACAAACATAAAAGAAACAGAAAACATGAAAACTGAACACACACACACATACAGCACAAAAAGAAAGAGGAAGAAGAAAAACAGGGGGGAATGCAAATTGAACCCTCACATCCACATTCACATACACACTAAACCAGAAAAAAAAGAAAAAAAAGCATTAAAAAAATGTCTGGCACTAACTGCCCTCTTGTGGCAGATTCTGTATTTATTCCTCTCTGCTGCTCACAGATAAGCCTGTCTGCCATCTCCTGTGGGGCTGCAGGCTCATTCACAATCTCCCTGGTGCACAGCCCGGGAGGAGAGGAGGTGGTGATGGGGGTGGATAAGGCATCAGTCCTCCCCTCCAGTTCTCATAAGGTTGGGAGATTCCCTCTGGTGGGGAGGTGTGGGATTGGCAGCAGGTGCCCCAGCCAAGTTTATCCCAGAGTAGCGTTTTCCTAGCACAGCTGCCATCCAGGCTCCACCTGGGTTGTCCCTCTCAGCCACGTCCAGCCATGTGGGTCTGACATTTAGAGGATTGCTGGGGAGCAGGGGGTTGGGTCAGCCCAGGACTTACTGCTGATCTCTTGGGGGGTGTTATTTCTTATCCTTTTCTGGTTACACCCTTTGTTCCATGGCTGGATCAGGATAGGAAGTGGGGCACCTGAGACTGCACTCATCCTGTCCCTCTGAAGTTTGTACTTTCAGAATATTCCCTCTGCGTCACAATCAACTCCTCAGTAGTTAACCCACTGGTCACAGAGAGCAGATTTACTCCATGGTGAACAAGCTGGAGCACTTCCCTGCCCAGTTTTCAAGATGGTGGTGAGGTGCCTGTTTCATCTTCTTCAGTGGTGCTCTTCCTCTGACTCCCTCACTGCACCTTCTCTGTAGCCCTCGCTGCCAGTGTCTGGTCTGGTGCTGCAGTGGTTGGGCAATCTGGCAATAGCCATTGCTCCCAGTAGCTTCTTCCCAGGAAAAGTTTTGTTGATTTTTAGAAAATGGCACTCAGCTTCTGCGCCCAGGAGGCACTAGAGTCCAAGCAGAGCAGCTGCTGGCATCAGCCACCTTACCAGGAGAGACCTGCCCACTTGCTCCCGAGTCCCCACTCAGTCAGCCACTTACAGACACACATGCAAATTCATCCATACACTCACTTACTCACACAGGAAGTTGCACAGTTCAACTGGCTCTGCCATCATCTTTTCTTCTGAATTAGGAGAAATCTTAATACTTTTCTTCTTAGAATAAAATATAAATCCTTCAATATTATAGAAGGCAGCTCCCAATTTGCTTCCTCAGGCCTGCCAGAATGATGAGGGGAAATGGGAATGGATAAAATCTTCATAACTGCTGCCCAGAATCACTTCAAGCATCTTGTGAAACTTTCCCACATAGTAGAGCTAACAAGAACACTTGGAATTATCATCAGAAAATTCTGATTTCTAGGCTTCTGAGGTGTCCCAGCATCCTCCTCATAGACCTCTCAGAATTTGATAGTCATAGGGTAAACAGAGACTGAGGTAGAACCAACTGGACCTTTTGAAGAGTAGGACATGGAGCAGTGCAGGAGACCAGGATGTGTTTCTATTAGATGCTCTTTATTGATTTGGGGATAATTGTGTATGTGTATAATTAAAGTAAATTAGCATCTTATTAACGAATAGCAAAATTTAATTAGGAATCATACCATCTAACAATTAAGTCTAATTTTACATTTGGTGGAAAAAGAAAATGCATGTAGTACATTTGTTAGACAATAAAAAGGTTTCTATATCTTCTTCTCTAGAAAAGCATCTTGGTCTTTAGATTTCCCTGAATCACTTTCACTCTGGCCTCCTTCAGAATTGCGTTTCAGTTGTTGACATATTGGTCTCCCTAAATGTCATTACTGTCAGCTCCTTGGAGAAAGGGAATGTGCTTGGCATTTATGTATTTCCTCCCACACCTAACCTCAGAGTCATTGAGTGTGTATTTACTAGAAAACTATATTTACTATATTTACTAGAAAACTTCTAAAAACTACTTGCTCATCAAATTTGCAGATGAGTAGGAGGGACTAGGAAGAGTAGTCCCTAATTACTATTACTAGTAGCTAGAAAGTTGAATGCTATAGTCAGAATTGTAAAAACTCTCAAAAAACTGAAAACCTTAGTAAAGTAAAAATAAAATAACATGACCTGAATTCAAAAATACAAAAAACAAAATTAATAGCATAACATGTGCGTTTAATAACATATTACACACAACTGAAGAGAGAATTAGTTAACTAGAAGAGAGCTCAGAAGAAGGCATCAAAAATGAAGGACAAAGAGCAATGAATTGAAAGTGTAGGTTAGAAGCTAAGAAATAGAGCACATCAAAAAGTCATACTCACATATAATTGAAACCCTACAAGAATAAGAGAGAGAGCTGGGCTTGGTGGCTCATCCTGTAATCCCACGCCTTTGGGAGGCTGAGGTGAGTAAATTGCCTGAGCCCACGGGTTCGAGACCCGCCTGGGCAGGCGAGACCTCATCTCTACAATAAATCAAAAA